TCAAGTTTTATCAGTGTTTCTTTGCTTAATTAAATGATAATTTTGTTGTATATCCATAAATTTTGCATGGTTTGCCTAATTCATTCATATACCTCTTTCATATAGATGTTGTAAGTTCTCGTAAGAGATTATCTAGGCCAGAAACAAGATCTTATATTGCAAAAAGACAAAAATGAGAAAAGCAAGACAACAATGAGACAAAAAAAAAAGAAGATAACAAAGAGGAAACCACAAGAACAGCAACAACAATCAAACAACAAGAAAGGGTGAAAGGCAGAGACATCAGAAACAAGAACCTGCAGATGAAGCTCAAAAACAAGCAGAAGCAAAAGAAAAAATAAGCGAACAACAACAATCCATTAAAGGTAAAAAAAACAATAGCAACTTATATAGATGTCACACGTGAATTGGTGCAATGAATTCCTTCCGAACTATTGCCACATGCATCTGACCCAACCTAATTGAGTGCTCTGTTTTGCTGATCATTATTAGAACTCTTCACTGTATAAGCTTTGTTTGCTTAATTACGTAATAAATTTTGTAATAATTCTTCTTATTCTTCTTTGATTGTTTAAATTATTTTGTTTGCTAGCTAACAAAATCAATACAAAGGAATTATGAATATATTCAAGTTTTATCAGTATTTATTTGTTGTATATCCATAAATTTTGCATGGTTTGCCTACTTCATTAATATCCTTCTTTTATATAGATGTTGTGAGCTCTCTCATGACATTATCTATGCCAGAAAGAAGATCTTTACCAGCAAAAATCCAAAAGCAAGAAGAGGAATAAAATAAAAAAAAAAAAAAGCAACAAGACAACAAAAAGGAAACTGCAAGAACAGCAACAAGAACCAAACAACAAGAAAGGGAGAAAAGACAGAGACATCAGAAACAAGAACCTGCAGATGAAGCTCAAAAACAAGCAAAAGCAAAAAAAAGAATAAAGAAACATCAACAATCCATTGAAGGTAAGAAACAATAGCGACTTATATACATGTCACACGTGAATTGGTGCAATGAATTCAAGTTATAATTCTTCTTATTCATTTTTCATTGTTTGAATTATTTTGTTTGCTAGTTAACAAAATCAATACAGAGAAATTATGAATATATTCAAGTTTTATCAGTGTTTCTTTGTTTAATTAAATGATAAATTTGCTTGTATATCCATAAATTTCACATGGTTTGTCTACTTCATTGATATCCTTCTTTTATATAGATGTTGTGAGCTCTCTCATGGCATTATCTATGCCAGAGAGAAGATCTTTAACAGCAAAAATCCAAAAGCAAGAAGAGAAAGACAAGAAAGAGACAAAAACAAGGACAGCATAAGGAAATAGCAGAAGGATGAACCTGCAAATGAAAAGGAAACAGCAACAAGACAAAAAAAAGGAAACAACAACAAGAGAAACAACCAGCAAATAGGAAGAAAGCAAGAAAAGACAGAGACAGCAGAAGGATGAACCAGCAAATAAAGCTCAAAAACAAGGACAACAAAAAGAAAGAATAACCAAACACCAACAACTAAAAAAAGCAGAAACAAGAACCAAGCCCCAACAAAACAAAAGGCAAGAAGAAAACAGAGGGAAGAAAAACAAGAAGTGATCAAATTCATGACCGTGAAGCAAAATATGTGTACCGCTCAAACATGCTATCCCTCATCAGATTCTTCAATGCCACGAAACTTGAAAATGAGCATTTCCAAATATTGAAAAAGACTCCCTTCTTCCTTCTAGTTGACATTTTATCAAAGTAGAAGGTGCAAAAAGCAGATTCAATAAAATATGATGATGTGGTTGCAAAAATCTTGCAAACATACCAAATGGATGGAACCACATTTGAAATTGGAGGGAAGAAGCTGAAGTTGAAAAGAAATGATTTCAAGTTAATTTTTGGGATTGCATGTGGACAAAAGAAGATGCATCTTGTATATGGAAGAAAAGATGACATAGATTTGGTAAAAAGAAGGAAAATAAGAGAGAATAGAATGACAAGTGCTTCAATCCAAAAGTTGATAACCAAACTTTTGAGAAGCAAGAAGAAGGAAGACAAAGAAGATGTTGTGAGGCTTGTGTGCCTCTTGATTTTCTTGCTCTTGTTATATCCTGGTACTGGCACTACAATTGGTTGGGGGTTCATGAAATATCTTGAAGATATTGACAAAATGAAGTCTTATGATTGGTGCGACGCAGCAAAGCAACAGCTCACAAAATCAATAGAAAGAAACATCAACCAAATTGATAAAGTGTCCGGATGTGTGATGGTCATATTGGTAAGTAAATATCTCACTTATAACTTATGAACTATAATATTTACGTTTACTAAATACTTGTTTATAACAATTTTTTTGTCTTCAACTGTATTGGATATGCGAACACACAAGCACCATCAAACCCAATGCCAAAAATGCAATCCCAAGATTTGCTAAATGGAACATCACATGTTTGGGACAGAAATCGGCAAGTTCATCCTTGCAAGAGCTAAAAGATATTGTGGTATGCAATGCTAACCTTAGTTTTGTTTAAACAAATGATAGATTTTCTTATGCAGTGATAAATTTTTGTTCACACTGATATATTTATTTAATTTCCCTAATTGAGTGACAAATTTTCCTTAGTATACCTAATTGAGTGATAAATTCTTTTATCCAGTGAATGTTTTTCTATTTGTTTACTGTGCATGAGTTTTGTTTAATATTTACTTTATTTGTGTTACTTTATATTCGACTAGAATTGATTATGTTTCTGTATTGATAAATTTATCCGTAAAAATGAATTGAATTAGACATTTTGTCTTATATTTACTTTATTAGCTTACTTTTGCTAATTCAGTGATAAAATTTGATATACTACGACAGGTTTGCTTACTATGTCCAGTTCAGTGATAAAATTTGCTATAACAATCATAGATTTGTTTAATTTTCCTAATTGAGTGATAAAATTTGCTATGAGAAATTTATCTCTGAAAATTTGTATCATATCATTCATTTTTTAAATTTTCATCTATATAGGAGAACAATTTGAAGCACACAAATGAAGAGAAAAAAATATACCAAATGCTGCTAGGAGAAATTCAGGATAAAGATGAACATGAAGATGAACATGCTAATTTTTAACAACAAAATCAGGCTGAAATTTCTGAAAAAGAAGAACAAACATTGACTGAAGACAAATCCAAACATAAAACATGGGAATCAATTCCACACAAAATATGCCTTGAAAAGAAAAAGAAAACAGTACCCTTTGAATCACAAAAGAGTGAAGGAAATAAAATTGACAAAGAGCCTGAAGTGGATCCAAATCTGGTAGAAGTACTTGTTTTTTACAGGATAGAAGACGACATGCTCAAAATGGAAAAGTTAAAAATGGAAAGGGACATCCTTCAAACTGCAAATGATAACCTGCAGCAGCAACTCAACAAGCTGAAAAAGGAAATGCAAGAACAGCACAAAAAACAAATGCAAAGCAAAGATAAAGAAATCAAAATACTCCATGAGAGAATTACAATATTGGCTGAGGCAAACAAGTACTCGGAAGAACAACACACACAACAGCAGCCTGCAATGAAGAAATTGAAAACTTCAAACGAAATTTTCAACATCCTACCAGAAAAATCAAGGCAAAATCTCATTGCACATTGGGTGAATACAAAAAAAAAAAAAGTAACAATCTTCTCTCTTGACTCCTGTAGTTCACTTTTGCCAACTGTTTATCATTAACTCATATTGAATTTATAAGTATCAAATATTTCAAAAATATTAATAAATTTATTATTCCAACACTAATAACCTTTTTTTCAAGGATCAGCCAGTGTGGCAAGGATCTCACCATGAAACCTATGTCTACTTAAATGACATTGACAAAATATTGAAGGGTCAAGATTTGGCAGGGATTGTAAGTTGAATTTGTAACTCATTAAAATAACATTTTAGTGTTTGATTTATATTAATTCCTTGTTTTGTTTTTTTGTTTTCAACACAGGTAATAGATGCATATGCAGAACATTTGCTTGCACAAAAACAACGAACAACATCATTCGTATTCATTTCAAGATGCCATGTAAGTAACTAGTTTGCTTAATTGAGGAACAACACTTGTTTTGTTTTTTATCAGTGTATAACGTATGTTTGTTTAACTGAGTAACTAGTTTCAAACATATGACACTACCTTCCCTTTTCAATTGGCCATGTTTCCTAATTCAAAGCTTGACATGTGAAACAAAAAGTCAAGCAAACCAAACCGGAATTGACTTAGATTTTGTAATCACTGTTATATATTTTGACCTTGTTATTGTGGCGCCACAGCATGAGTAAATCCCAGACTTTGATTAAAAAATCTGGGCACTTTTTTGGGTTTTCGAAACTATTGCATATGATATTGAGAACTTCAGCAAATATTGACATGTGTTGAAATTGAAATAGCTTGATTATATGCTATGATGTTGCAGGACATAGTTCACTTTCATTTTGTTAGTGGTAAAGCGTCATAGAGCTCTTGTTTGATGTAATTTCTTAAGTAACGGACAACTTTCATTACAACTATGGAATGGAGAGAATCATGACATATATATATATATATATATATTAGTAGATGTGCACACTCACATGAGTGTACTTCACATAAGCAGTATGGATATATACCCTGTTATAGATCACCTATGAATATTTACATAATGAAAGAGAAGCATAGTATAGATATATTAGGGCATATAAAGATCCATTTCACATGGAGGAGAAAAAAAGGCCTCTAGACACCAATAGATGTGTTCCCTTTATATGTAGTGTACATGAATTTTGTAATGCACTGATAAAGTTTGAAATGGATTGATAAAATTTTGATCACAGTGATAAAAAGTTTCATACTCACCACCTATTTAATTTGAAAAAGTTTAAAGTTAAATTAACATTATTTTTTTTATTTATATTTGTTATCACTTGTTCACTACAAAAGATGAGGAAGCAAGAAACAGAATGCTAAACAAAATTATGCCTAAAGCCATGAAAGCAAGATACCTTTTCTTCCCAATCCACCAAAATTTTCACTGGACAATACTTGTCATTGACATTGAAGAAGCTTCATGGAAATTCTATAATTCGATGAGACCAAGGGGAGCAATGCCTAAAGATCCACACTTCAATGCTGCAAATCAAGTGGTAAAAATCTTTTTACTATCAAACTTACCATTAATCCAATACATAAATCCTGATCCATGCTTACTTATACATCAAAAATTTATACAGTAATATATTTATCATTCTTTAAATCCATAGTTTCTCATTAATCGTTTCAACTGACTTTCTAATACAACAATTATACAAATGTATATGTTGCAGAGAGAGATTATTGAAAAATACGTAAAGGATGAGTACCAAACTCTCATTCACCCTGATAAGTTTCAACAGCAGACAGAGAACATCATCAACACCCCACAACAAGAAAACACATCGTAAGTTTATCAATAACAAAACACTGTTATTAAAAAAAAAAAAAAAACAACAAAACCAAATTATAATATTCTGTTTTCAAAATGTTTTTGCAGGCTTGATTGCGGAATCCTTGTTTGCTACATCATAAGGCAATATGTTTCCAATAACAACATAATGCCTACTTTTTCCAAGGAATAATACAATCAATTGAGAGCTGATATGTTAAGTATCTTCTTGACTGACCAACAAGTTGCTCAACGACAAATACCTGATGAAAACATTGATGACTTGTCTCTGCAATAATCAACAAATCTGGAATAGAAGAAAAGAAAACACTAATTCATTTGGTTGTTAGAATGTCAATACTTCATACATTTTGCTTGTTTGCTTGTTACAGTGTTTGTATTTTGATGATTTTGGTTCTTACTTTCCTCCAATGAATGTTACAATGCTTGGTTATTACAATGTCAAAGTTATGGACAGTGCTTGGTTGTTACAATGTCAAAGTTATGGACAATGTTTGCTTGTTACAATCTCAAATTTGCTTCAATGAAACATTCAGTTTTTTTTAGCCATATCGTTACCAGACCTGGCTTTCCATATCAGTCTTGTTATCCAAATTTCATTAAAAAAATTGATTCTAATCTGAGTATTTGTGTTGAATTTAAAGGTTAATAACAGGTTTGGAGTCACTGTACTGATAAATTTATTTTTTATAGTATTTTGTTTACCCTGATAAATTTATCACTGTAAACACTAATATATTTACCAATGTTCAAACAAAAAAACCAGCGACTCTCTCTCTCTCTCTCACACACACACACATTTTTTTCCCCAATTCAAGTAAACAAAACACTATAAAAAATAATAAAAAACTTACCTAATTGAAAATTAAAACACAAGCACTATTACATTGTCCAAATTGAAAATTAAAATACTGTTACAATTTGTAGATATTCCCAACTTTGTGAATGAATGTAAGAACATGTCATCCTTGGTGATTTCTGAATAATCAAAACCATTTGATACTTCAGTTAAACAACTCAAACATCCAAAGCTAGCTTCTAAGTGACCACAAAACAGTATGCAGACTGAGAACTTGTTGTTAAACCAGACAAGCATGGTAGTTGATCTAAAATTTTTTGCTTTTTAAAGCAGTTAACACAGCAGATATGCAATTATATATTCTAGAGATTTGATCTACGCCTTTGTATTGTGGAAATTTTTCCTGGGAAAACTAGATAACTCCACACAATGATAAATTTATCACTGTTGAAAAGAATATTTGCTTGGATATGACAGTGATAAATTTATCAACCACTGACATATATGTAATAAACCATCAACTCTTCCCACACAATAAGTGATAAATTTATCATTCTTCAAAATAACAAAATTCAAGAACCACATTAATGATACATTTATTATTCTTACAAAAAAATAATCCATCAACTTGTCCAAACCAACAAGTGATAAATTTATCACTTTATGAAACACCAAAAAACAGCAACTACATTTAACCCAAATCAAATAATACAAATCTCTGAAACTTAATCCTATAAAAATATCAGCAAAAAATATAATTTCTGATCAACAAATTTCTCAATCATTCAATGCGAGTACCAAAATGACACATCTTTCCAAAAATACTCAGTCTTTCAATGCAAGTAACACCTCTCAACTCTCAAACAAAGTAATTCAATTAAAATCAATGCAACTAAAGCAAAGCTTGTTTACATGTCTTCCTATTATGAGTTCCCATCTTTCCACACCTACTGTATCTAATTCTTTTGATTTCGCCCTTAGAAGGTATTCTCTCCGTTCTTGGACATCCAGCTGGTCTCTTACAAAGAGGAGGTAAAACAACGTCATCATCAACAACTACATTTGGCTTCCACATACTAGGAACTGGATAGATAGAATGTGAATAAGAATCACAATAACTACTAACATGGTAGTAATCATCAAGAAAGCAATTCAGATCCTTTCCACTCCTCTTTATAGCACAAAAACCATGTTTGCAAGGAAAAGAATCAGGGTATGTTTGGTTTGTGTTTGAGAGATGTGTTTTAGAGATAAAAAGTACGAAAAGTTGTTTGGTTTGGTTTTTTTCAAAAGATATTTTGAAAAATTATTTTGAGAAAGAGTTTTGGAAAAAGTAATTGATTTGATGTGTGTGAGAGAGAGATTTGTTTGGAAAACTTGTTTGGTTTACAAGTTTTGAGAAATTTTTTTGGAAAAATTTGTTTGGTTTGATTACTTTTAAAAACTTATTTGTAGAGAACTTCCCAAAAATTTTTCAGAAACACAAACCAAACGAACCCTCAATTTCCCACAATCGACAAGAACAACAACGTTTTCCAATATCAACCATAACTGAATGATCCAATTGGGTTTCATAAATGTCATCGCTACATTTCTCAACTATCTATGCTTTTGTATCATTAAAAGCTTTTTCCAACTTTTTCTCTGCAAAAGGACAAACAAAACGATTCCACTTATTCCCAACTTCTCTCCTTCTTGAAAATTGCTCCATTAGTTACACCCGTATAGCATCAATAAGACTAATTAAAAACAAATGGCGTTCATCCCTAATCCATGAATTAAAAGATTCCACAGCATTTGTGCACATTTCACCATACCTCTTGCCTTGAAAATAAGCGTTACACCAACACTCATTAGGCAAATCCTCAAGAAACTTTTCAACACTACGACCACAACGACCCTTAAATTCTTCAAATAGCTCATTAAACAACTCAATAGTAGGAGCATATGCACATCTACTAAAAAGAGTAAGCAAATACTCTTTAGATTCACGACTCTTCACTAACAAATAAGTCTTCAAGTTTGTCTTCAAATGCATTAGACAAAAAGAATGAGAAGAAAATGGAAAGACCTCAGCTAAAGCTTTCAGCAAACCTCCATGTCGATCAGTAACAAATGCAATATCCCTCTTCGGAGTCAAAATACCTAATAACTTTGACAAGAACCAATGCCAACTGCCATAACTTTTACTATCAACAATAGCAAAACATAACGGATATAAACCTACAAACAAAATATATATACACATTATCAGTAACAAATAAAAAAAATACAAAGAGAAAATCAAAACACAAAGTATATGACATATAGCACCAGCCATAGATAAATTTATCACTGTATAAATATAAAAATTCAACAAAAGTATATAGCATAAATTTATCACTAATAAATTGACCATACTCAATAATCAGCACTCTCTAGTAACAAAAATGACAGAATTATCACTATTTCAATAATAATAACACATAGACACAAAATATACCTTGGTTACCATCTTTTGCCGTAGCAGCCAATAAACAACCTTTGTGTCTTCCCTTCAAAAAAATTCCATCAAGCATCAACACAGACCTACAATACTTGAAACCATGAATACATGCCTCAAAAGCGAAAAACAAGCATTTAAAATGTCTTCCTTTGCTATCAATATCAAATTCCATATCAAAAACACTCCCCCGATTGCAAGCATTAGCGGCATCAACATACAAATGAAGATCGTCAAATGATGATGAATAGTCACCAAAAACAAGACCCCTTGCTTTTTCAACACCCATCCAAGCTCGCCGATAAGAAACTTCTGTTCCATAATAGTTATTGAAATCACAAACCACCTCACTAACCGATGTCACAGCCTTGTTACGAATATCACTTGAAATTAGCCCACCAATCATACTTGAAGTCATTCTAGCATGTTTAATTGTACGAAAAGAAGATCCACAAGTATGAACATCATCAAATTGTTTAATAACAAAAGCCTTACTATAATTTTCCACTCTAACATGCACGCTCCATAAACATCCCAAATCAAGCCTTCTCTTACAATGAATAGTGACACGATCCTTATTATTCTTAACAAAATCAAAATTAAAACCGGAATGAATAGAATACTTTGGCAACACATCTCGAAATTCAACAACTCCTTGAGAAAACCTTTGTCCCACTCATTTCATACAATTAACCCACCCATCGGAGAGTAAAGGTTTCCGTTGATTTGAATAAAATGAAGGCAAAAAATCAGTTTCACAAACAACACTACTACTACTACTACTACTAGCTTCACCATGACAAATCATATAACCTTCACCCAAAGAACAACACTTTACAAAAACATCAATATGATGAATATCACAAGAAAGTGCCAGTCCAACCATAACCTCCAAATCCTCTTCACTTTGTAGACCACAAGAAGAATGTCCAGCCATTGAATACTATATATTCAAAGAACTACCAACTAACTCACTCCACTTTGCATACAGTTTCTATACTAAATCCTTGAAATTAAATCCATCATTATACTTGATAACCAATGTCACACCTCTAAACTTGCACATATGAAACAAACAATTCTCCATCATTATAAATCCTGCAACAAACAATAATTACATTTCAGTAAACAACTCAAACACCCTAAAACAAAATCAAATACAGTGATAAAATTATCAACCAACTCAAACACATCTAAAAACCAACACTCATAACTTTAATAGTTAACACCACCAAAGACCAATAACAGTGAATAAGGCTTACACTTATTAGACTTGGTAACTCGATTTGAATCTTAAATTATGCAACCTTTTCATCTCCTATTCCCATACTCACTCATAAATTTATCATTGTTGAAAAAGTTAATCTAACATCACCCCCAAAATACACAGTGATAAAATTATCACTGTATAAAATAACAAACCAACACTTGTGTTCAATCAACACAATTTCGTAACCAAAAAAAATAAAAATCTAAAATTCAATCAACAAATACATATCCCAAAACTTTCAATATTATGATCAAAACACAAATTCAATCGCAAAAGAAACAACAGAGTAACAACAATATCACCACAAAATCAAAATCACCAACTCAAACTAAAAAGAACCAAAAATTGAAATTGAAATCAAAATCAAAATCAAACATACCAGTCGACCTAACTCCACAACACCGCCAATCAGAAAATATAACTATACACCAAACGCGAAATCGCAAATAGAAAGAATCACCAAGCACGCAAACGCAAATCACAAATCGCGAAGATACACCAAGTGCGAAATCAGAAATCACGAAGCTCCATAATAATACAGCAGCAAACCGTGAAGTTCCACAGAAATCCAAATCACAAACACAATATTTTGATGGAAAATCCAAATAGAAACGCGGCAGAACAGGAGAGGGGTAAAACGGTACAAAAAAAAGGCTCATGACCTGTTGGTGCACAAGATCAAAAGTCAGGATTAAGAGGGGAATAAGTGCAAAACTGAGGACTGGCCAGTAAAAAACCCAATAATCTAAGTTAAATTTTACGCTTAGAATTTCACTCAACAAACTCACATTTCTTATTCCCATTTTAAATTATTTCAACTATCGAGGCTTGATTATAAGTGCAGGACTTGAGACCATATCAAAGAATACACGATTCAATTTCACCTTTGCTCAGCCCAAACCCAAAAAATAATCCATCATATGATAATTTCACCAAAAATGGTTAAGAGCACTAAAAATGGAGTTTTAATGAGAGCTTTACTTATGTGTTAGTGGGCCCTATTCATGATTGATTTGATATATATGTCTTTTTTTTTTGGCCACATGATTAGTGTCATTGCTAGAGTTCCAAATTTAGAGTTATGAATCATTGAACACTAAAAGTGAAGCTCTAATGAGAGCTATACTTATGTGACAGTGGGCCTTACTCATGAGTAATTTGATGTATGTATCTTTTTTTTTTTACAAAAATGTTTAAGAGTATTAAAAGTTGAACTCTATTAAGAGTTTTACTTATGTGACAGTAGACCACACTCATAAATAATTTAATATATACACTTTGTTTTTGTTTTTGTTTTTTTTTTAATTTCATACTACATTATTAAAGTCATTAAAATTCTAAATTTAAAGTTATGAATGATTACTTTAATGCCGCTAATGCTAGGATTTTGTTAGGCCCTGTGGGATATTTCTTCCCCCATACAATTCAACCACACTAATCTTCTATGGTGCTGGTTGGTGTAACTGTTAAAACAGATTATAGATTATACCTTAACAGATTATAGATTATGACTTTAATCAGAAGCTGTTAATCTGTTTGGTATAGCTGTTGGATTATAGATTTAAGTTGCTGAGTAATGTTTGTTAAATAAGCTGTGAAATAACTTTTTCAATTAACTTTTATTTTTTGTTATTCACTATTTGTCTACATTTCTCATAAAAAATAGTAATAATATTTTATAGTCCATTTGGGTCTTTTTCTATTTTTAAAAAAATTAAAAAAAAATTTAAGAGTATAACCGTAAATTAACATGTCCACAATAGAAACTCATAATCAGAAACAAGGGGTGAGTACCTTATCAGAATCAACTTTTTTGACTTAAAATAAATTGTTAGAATCAGAAGCTGTTTGAAATAAGTTTAACCAAACAGTCTAAAATAACTTTTTAAAAGTCAGAAGCCATAAATTAACTCAAAAAAGCCCCACCAAACACCCCCTATAGCGCGTGCTTATTAACAACGGACTTTTTTGTGGCATCACAAAGGCCCTGTTTGTTTGGGGTTATAGAGAGGGGATTGGATTTGGCAGTGAGGAGGGGATTGAGAATGAGATGTTTGTTTTGAGAGATAGTGAGAGGATTAGTAATCCTTTGGTATTAGTAAGGAGGAGGAAGGGGGATTGGTAAGGAGGAGGTAGAGATGGTATTAGAAAAATAGTGAAAGGATTAGAAATTTTTTTATTTTTTTTATTTTTTATATATTGAATTTTTTTTTAAATATAATGTTTAATTTTTTTATTTATTTTATTATTTTATATAAAAATAATTTAATAATTCCTCACTATTAATCCCCTCACTATCAATTCCCTCATTATTAATCCCTTCACTAATAATTCTCTTATTATGCATTCCTCCGCTCTATCTTTGAAAATAAAGCCAAAGAAAGAACCTATATATATATCTATATAATAAGGCAAGACACTTTTTGAAAATGTCTTAAAATATATGAGAGATACATTTTGAATCAAGGGTTGAGATTATCCTTGGCAAGTATCTAAGGGTCAAGATAATTTCTTTGTTTTTGCTTTTCCCCCCAAAATGTGTCTTTTCACATATCTCTCTCTGGTTTTAGCTCCAGCAACTCTCCATTTTCCTCACTGGTTTTAGCTTCAACTTCTCTCTCGGTTTCGGTTCTGCAATCTCTTCACAGGTGACATTCCTATTCTCCTTTGCCCTTTCACTCTTCTATTTCTATTTCTAACTTATTCTCCTTTTCTTATTCTCCTTTGCCCTTTCACTCTTCTATTTCTATTTCTAACTTATTCTCCTTTTCTTATTCTCCTTTGCCCTTTCACTCTTCTATTTCTATATAATTCATGGACTATTTATTCATCTCTATTGAAAAGAAATTGAAAAGAAACAGAGTAAAGAAAGAGATAGAGGTGGGTTTTCTTAATTGTGTTACACATTCAAATGCTTGGTCACTATCACATCTTTATTTATTTTATGTGCTATTTTTTTAATAATAATGCAAAAAAATACGTGAAAGACAGACCTCGCAAAAGACTGATGACTACTTTTTTCTACTAACAAATCATTTGGATTGCTAATAGTATTTATTTATTTATTTATTATTTAGTAAAATGTGCAAATAGTTTATTTTGTTTAGATTGAAAATATACAAATTGTTTAGATTGAAAATAAATCAGAAATTTAATATTTAAATTGATGAAATTAAAAACTCATACTTTATTTTGTTACAAGTATTAAATTCTAAGTTTTTTTTTTGGGGGGTAAATTTTCCTAAATTTTAATGATACCTAAAATTATTCAAAGTAGATTGGCTTATGTGTGTTGGTAGCATACAATTTTTTTAATATATTCCTGTTTCCCACGATTAATTAAATGTTGAGGATGCATGAAATTAATTAATTAATTGATTAGATATAAATCAGATAAAAAACAATTTATGGTGAACATTTTCCTAAATCATATAAAAAATAGAGGAATTTCATTGGCATGCTGATTAGGCCACTAACAGCAAAAGCTGCTGGAGTTTTTTCACATGCCCCAAACCATGGCATCCCAACATGATTATTTTTTTAATTAATTAGCTTTGATTAATAATTAATTATCATCTTGCCAGCCTGAATAAATTAATGATTAAGATTCTTAATACATGTTTTATACAAAAAAAAAAAAAAAACTATTTTAGATGTTAGGTTATCCTTTTCTTGGTGAAATTTAACTGTGAAAGTAGTATAATATATATAGGACTTTCCAACATAGCAGGGGGCATGGCCCCTGATGGTCTCACAGTAGGTCCGTTCCTGATTGTCATTACATAGCTAGGAAAGTTGATTGAAAAACAGTTATAAAGGTCTTTACAATTTCAGAGTCAGAAACGAAAAAAATAAGATTTTGTGTTGGGTTACTTTTATATATAATGTATATTCAATATGATCTAACAATCTAAATTATTTTAACATCATTCAATAGCTAATTATTTATATGTGTTCAGTATCTTTGTTCATGCTCATCCAAATTTAATTCAAACTTATGAATTTTTGCTTAAATCCGCACACAAGTTCAAAACTATTAGAGAATTTGACAAACCAACAATGTGACAGACACAACAGACAGTTAAAAACCTTAAACCCAATGGAATTGTTGTTTATAGGCTTGGATAGCCAAATTTGCTGGTTTTTGGATTTTTCCTATCATTACATTTTATTTTATTTTTTGTGTGTGACTTTTCTGGGTGTCTGATTATTGAAAAAAAATAGAGAAAAATTTCATAGCTTCTAGAATTGTGAGGTTGGGGTTGTTGAGTTTGATTTGAATAAATTATTTGTTGGTTGTTTAGAGTTTGATTTTGTTGGTTGTTTAGCCACGCTTGGATGGGTTTAACTCTTTGTAGAGTTCAGTTAATTGCCAATTTAGACAACTTATGTTCAAGCAATGCCTTGATGATAGAGTTAATTACAATCTAAAGTACCTTTCTTACCTGAAAACAAAAAATTAAAAAAAAAAAAAAAACACTTCAAAAATAAATTTTGGTTCTTTAACTCTAACTTGGAACTTAGTCCTAAATAGATTTGCTTCTTTCTACATCTCCTATATTTTATTTTTGCAATTGGATATAGCTTTTTCATATGTAACGTTTTCTTCTTACAATGTAACCTCTCTCCTACAAGATGTGCCTAGCCAAAACAATTAGCGCCAAAAGCGGCAGACTTTGGACCAAAACTCATCCAACAACCAACTGTATGTACAACATCACTAGATTCAAAGGAATTTTGCATATTTAGATTAGCTTAGAATTTGGACTTGCAGTGCCTTCAATTGATGATTGATTAGGAGAAGCGAAAAGGTTGTTTTACTTCCATACTATTTATTTGGCAGTTTGATTGACTTTCTTCCCATATTTTCCTTTCCCCTATGTTTTAATCTTCTGGAATAAAATGTCACATGAAACTCTAAGGTAGTCTTTGGTTCACTGTAATAATGTGCAAAGATTCCTTGCACTTCTCATATTTGGTTGACTAAAAGAATAATGAAAAATTCATTGCAATGGGAATCATCGTTTACCTCTTTCCAATGAATCAAATAAAATATCAATGAGATTGAAGTGTTTCAAATATGATTAGTGTTCTGATAAATGATTTGGATTATTTTGCAAAGTAATGTTCTGTGATCTTTTGTTTTTACTTGATTGTTAAAAATTAGAATTATAGTGAGAAAGAAATAGCCCATTGTACTTAAATTATGGCACAATTAAGTAATCAAATAGTCATTGTACAACTCATTGGTATTTAAACCCAATCTATTTATAGCACTATTAAATGAGTTATTTCTTTACTACAGGTCTTTGGTGTTTCAACCTCTTCAACAACCTTGGAGTTCACTTTAATTCATATCATAGACAACATTCATATTTTTGGTTATGTATGTTTACTTTATAGTTTATGAATCGAGGCTTAATTTCTCACTTATTATTTATATTTTTTCTCATAATCAAATGCTTTTGTATTTTTTTTTTACAGGTGGATGATATGTTAAAGGAAACAGTAATATTAGATCTCTATACTCATTTTTTTATTTAATCTTCATTCCTTATTATAATTTTTCTTTGACCTTTCAAATGCATTTCTATACATACACAGGTTCAATTTCTTCAAAACAGAAATGTCAGTGTTGTGATCCATAATGAACGGGACTTTAATGTCCTCTGTGTTCATGGGGTAAGCCCACTAATCAAATTTATTTGCTTCTCATATTTTTTTTCTTAATAATTTTTGCTTATTTTCTTAAAGGCAAAGGTAAAGGTAAAGGCGAAGGAAAATGAGAAGTTTAAAAGAAAAGGAAAGGAAAACTACCCAAGAAAAGGAATAAAAATTACACAAATTGTATGGTTGTTTTCAAGTTTGTTTTGGAACATGTATAAAGAAAATCATGGGGGGAATGTGATATTTTGGAGGATGCATAATCTCTGTGTAATTTCTTTTTTATTGTAAAGTTTGTGAAGATGGACATGGTGGCTTTAATGATGTTCAAACTAAATTATGCATCCTTAAAAAATTATAAAGGATCTTTTACAAAGATATATAAAATTTTGCAAATAGAAGAGGGAAGTAACTAAAGTTTAAAAAAGATCACAAATGATAAAAGAAGGAAATAAATTGAAAGTGTATTTTAATTAGAATTGTGTTTAAATTATGATCAAGTCAAACTTTTGTAGGATTGGGTTGAAAAAGCTAGAGCTCAAGAGGATAAATAAGACTACATTGCTTCGATGGAATTGTAATAAGGTATCCTTGGTCCATATTGTTTCAATATTTATTTTTCATATTGTTTCAATAGGCTAATGTTATTGCTTTTTAAATATTAGATTGTTGTGCATGCTCTTCATTGGAAAAAGTACACATAAGTTGATACATGGACATTTCAGAATGTGATGGAGAACAAGTTTGAAGGTGTCAAAGCGCTTTAGAGGCGGCCAAGTACTTTTTGTAAAAGAACAAGTTTGAAGACATTATACGGCTTACATTTTGTAAAGTTGACAAATATTTTGTAAAGTATATCCTTGATGTTAACCACTTTTGTAAAGCTTCCTACTAATATGTACTTCATTGAATTTCTAATATTTTTGTAAAGTGTCTTATCAATGTAAAAGATTAGACCTTGTGGATGGTTATTGAGTGTGGATAGTAAAGTGCCCTTGAAAATTCACTAAATTTAGTATCTTTGCATATTTTGGTGGAAGTCACATATGCTTGACATGGATTTTTGTGAAAATTTAGTGTCTATTGTGCAAGAATAATTTATTAGTGGTTTGAAGGAGGATGTTATAGTATTATTGCCTCTTAATTTTTATATACTTTAGTTCCCCCTCCCTCCTATCATGGTTATGAATTTTCATGGTTTGTTTCTAAATTCATTTTTCTTTTCAAGACCTCTGACTTTCCAACACAGTTGGTTGTGAAATTAGCTTGAATTTGTTGTATCATCCATGATATTATGGTATTAACAATAAGGTTAGTCTTTAAAGTAACTTGGGTTAGTTTTATTTCATTTATTTATAAGTAGTTAGTTGAAACTGTGAAAAAGTTTGAAGGATTTAAAGTATTCCTATTGATTTGATGTTTTATTTGATTGATTTGAATTATTTCTTAAATAGGGCTGATTTTGAAAATATGTTAGAGAATGAGGTGGGAACTTTTGAAGACATCACCCCAATTATGTGAATGAGGTGGGAAGCCTACAATCATGATAAATTCATTAGAAAATAAAAAATTTGAAATTTATTAGTTATTTATTTCAATTTTCTTTATATTTTTTGTTTCTGTTTTATGTGAAATTTTAAATTGAAGTGATATTGTCATTTTAAATTAATTTATTATAATTGAATTTTGTAGCACGTATCAAACAAAAATTGTTCACAGTACCTTCAGGCACGGGTTATCCCTAGTATATATACAGAGAGAGAGAAAGAAAACAGAGTGAGGTTAGGTGATTCTCTTTCTTACTTGCGCTTTCGGGTGTTTTTGTCAATTACTTGTACTTTCTCTTTCCAGACTCCAAAAGGTATCTGCATTCGGATTGGAGCAGACGCCTCTCGCCGGAGAAATCGGCCGGAGATCGAGTATACAACTCTTCAAAATGAAGATTTTCGTCAAAACTCTCAAAGGAACTCACTTCGAAATTCAAGTGAAACCTGAAGATACGGTTCGCTCTCTCTCTCTCTTCTCTTTACGTCTACTAGGGTTTTGCTTTTATCGTTTTTTGATGCAAAATTAGGGTTTTTATTAGCTTCGTGATCTCATATGTTCCTGAATTGGAGAAAAGACCTTGACTTCCTGCCTTTTTATTTTGCTATACATGTATGTGTATCTGTATATACGTGCGTTTGTTCTGTGTACATGTATGTATTTAGAATTTTGGTTTTGCTTATGCTTTGAATGAATTGGGATTGGGTCAATTTAGGAACTTGAATTGGCTTTCTTAGGTAGGTTCATGAAATTGGGGGTTTGAAGCTATTAGTGAAGCGATTAGTACTTATTTGAAATTGGACGTGTAGTCTTGCTGTTATGTAGCTACTTTTAATCAGCAATCAAGAGAATTCGGTTTTGCTCTGTATAATTTTAGGCATTCATTGTTCAGTGGTCGATACATGTTTTTATTTTGGCTTTGTTTGTTTCGCTCAATACTTCCGAAGATAGATTTCTTCGGAGCAGAATTCTGCGGGTGAACTGAAATAACATGGTAGTATTAAATTCCCTCCTTGTCGGGTGAGTGGACTGCACATCATCTGTCATTTGTGATTCCTATTAAGCTTTGGTACTTAATTTTTGAATTCTACATTGGGTTGGGTTTTTATGGCCTCCGATTGCATTGTTTCATGCTTTATTGCACCACATTATTTAGTTATTACTTTTGAAGTCTACCTACATTACTCTCTTTCTTTCTTTGAGTAACATACTATGGAACTGTTGCATTTTGTTGGCGCTGATACTTGGTCCCACCCCTCCATGTGTTCTTCCTCGATTATTAGACCATCTCCACATGGTTACCACATTTCAGGACTAGTGAACCTTAGTATATCGACTGGTGTATCATTCTTTTCCATGTCGGTTTCTTAGGCCTTGTTTGGCAAGTGACTTTTTTAGTCAAAAAGCCAAAAAGTCACTAAAAAAATAAAAAAGCCAACAATCTATACCAAAAAGTCAAAAATTTCCTTTTCTCTCTACTTTTTGCACATCTTTTCGTAAAAAGCCAAAAAGTCATCCCAAACATACTAGTTTTTTTTACATCATATTTTAGCCAAAAAGTCAAAAAGTTTCTAAAAAAACCTGTTTCCAAACGAGGCCTTAGTGAGGATTGGTGCTTGGCGAAGACTTAGGTTTTGGGGACTAAAGTTTTAAATGGCTTTATTGAGGCCCACCTCAAGGCAAGGTTAAGGAAAAAAATATCAAGGCTTTGATTTTTAGGCTATATTGTTCAAAGGCTTGCACATCAAAATATGAGCATACGCCCTAGGTGTGCTTTGTACACCTTTTTGTGCATCAGTATATGAGGAGTACACATATGAAGAGCTTGTCTTAGATTCTTGTTAGTCTAGTAAATGGTTTAATTTAATCATAAAAATGCAAAGAAGAAAAAAGGAGCCCTTTTGCAACTATATTCTATGAGAAAAATTAAGTAATGACTAATCAAGAAAAAATACAAACTTAATGCTCAAATGAGAAGCTCAATAAGCAAAACTAAGAATGTCAATCTCACTTTCAATGAGGGAAAGCTTCCTTTTCTGTAGTGAAATGTTTGACGCTTTAAGAAGAAAATATTTAAACCTTTATATTTGTGGCATAAACCATTAGATATCAATATATTTTCCCCCCCAAAAAATATTTTTCCCCAAGAAGAAAGTATCTACAAGTCTATAAGTAACCACCCATAAAAGAGATTACCTAACAACTTAAGAAATCAACAAATATACATTAATGATAAAACTCCTAAATTACATGAAAACCTAAATCTAAAAACACTTGAATTTCTCAAAATCTAATTTTTGACCTTGAGAAGTAAGGCAAGCCACCTTTTCCCAACAAAGATAGTCTTGGAACTTTGTCACATCATAAGTGGTTAGGACAAAGCTTTGTTGAGTTGTTCCAATTTCATCATTTTCATGGTGCAGCTGTTGTGTTTTATTTTTGTTTGCAGTTACGCTTGTTTCTGAAATTTTGTGTGGTTGAATACTGATCATGTCTTCTCCAGGTTGCTGATGTTAAGAAAAATATAGAATGTGTGCAAGGAGCAGATGTGTATCCCGCTGCACAACAGATGCTTATTCATCAGGGAAAGGTTCTTAAAGATGGAACAACATTGGAAGAAAATAAGGTTGCTGAAAATACTTTTGTCGTCATCATGTTAGCAAAGGTAAAATTTGTTGTCATTTGAAGTATGTTGGAAGTATGATTCTTTTGTATTTCTTAGGGCATTGACAATCTGTATTTTATTCTATATCTAGTCTTGCATGTTTTTCTTTGCCTCGTCATGCCTTCTTGTTGGGCTTAATGCCCTTGGTCTAAAAGCCCTTCGTCAGCTTCGTAACTGATTTTATAGAATTCTGGCTAGTTCCTAAATGCCAAATAATACCCTAGTTAAATTTTGCTGTAAAAAAAATCTACGTTAATTCACAGGCATAAATTGTTGCATTTTTTTTTTGAAATGTAGAATATCTATATTACCCTCCACATTATAGTATGAGGGGCCTATCTTTGTTGTGTTTGTCCATTTAGATTTTGATTACATCTTATATAGCTGGATTGTCATTGCAAGAGCTTGCAAGAGCCTGCCTTATCGCTACACACCACTGTTCTTAGTAGTGTTGCTACCTTTTAACGTTTCCCTCACTATTGTTTGCCATTATCATTAAATCTTGCTGTTGCTGAATTTAAAAATTGTGCAGAAATTGAGTTTCTTTCCTTCTTAATCATCAATCAATATTATCATCTATTCCTTCTCTTGTTTTAAATCTTGTAAAAACATTTCTTGATTGATTGTCACTGTTGTTGGGAGGCAGTGCAATGAGATGATATTGGAGGGGAGATTTCAAGGTCGGCGAATTGGATCCAATGTACAGACCTGTTGTCGGTGTTGCATGCATGGGACAGGTTGGGAGTTACTTTAGTGGGACAGAGTGGGAATTGGGCCCACTTTCTTTCCTCATTTTTCCATTCCCTATATTAAGTGTTCTTTGATGCAATTAGATACAGACTTCTTGAGGAGAAAACAAATGAGGAAGTTGGCATGACTGCATTTTCTATGTGAGCATCTAAGAATCACGGACATTTCTAAGAAGGTGATGTGTCCGTGTCGGACATTGACACTCGGACATTATCAGACACGTGTCCAATTCCCTTTTTCCCTATCCACAATTAAAAATAAAAATCTTAATTTCGGACATGTGTCCGACACTCATTTTGTGACGTGTTCGTCACTTCTTGGCAATGCTTTGCACTAAAAATAAACATGAGGCCAACACTTCCAGGACATTTGCTAACATATGATTTTCAAAGTTAAGGATTTGAATATACCGTTAAAAATGTATAATTATTGTGAATAATCCTATAAAAGCTCCACACAAAATTAAATGAAAAATGAAAAAGATATATAAATGTGTTAGGCTAAGGAGGATGAGGCAAATGTCACAGTTATATACGTTTGCTATAATTTGTTTGATTTTTAACTAGTATGGTCCAGTAGTCGAAAAATTTATATAAGAGGGTTAATACAAAAGTTACTTTGTACAACCTAAAGTAATGATTTAATTTTGTATATATTATGTTCATATATAACTATATAATGGGTAAATTACACTGACACCTCCTGAGGTTTGGTCTCATTACATTCCACCCCTTGACGTTCTAGAAATTACATTCCCACCCCTATATTAATAGTCTCATTTCACAAATCCCTGTGCTTATATAAAAAGCAACAACTCTTAGTAAAAAAATAGAGAAAATTATGTTGAAAAAAAAAAGTAAAGCAAAGGAAAGGAAAAAAAAAAAAAAGAAGTAAAGCAAAGCAAGAAAAGAGAGTGCATGAGTTCAATATCTTCATTCCATCTAAATAATTACAATGACAGGGTGGTTAGTATAATTTTCCAAACGTCAGGGGTGATATGTATTAAACCCAAACCTCAAGAGATGTAAGTGTAATTTAACCCTATATAATATAATATATTCCTAGATAATATAATATTAAGATAATTATTTGTGGTGTATCCAAACCTTGTCCGTGTCCTACTTTTTTGAAATTTTCCGTGTCAATGTGTCCATGTCGTGCCATATCCATGTTATGAGTCTGTGTCTATGCTTCATAGGTGAGCCTTGATAGGTGTCTGGAGGCACCTCATTGCAATGCTACTGCTTCGAGATCATTATGTTTTGTCAATAAGAATTGGTACGTTAATCTGGTGCAATGAAGCAATGTAGGCAGCATCTGTGGGCTTATAGAATAAGAAAGTGGGTTAATTAGAGGCTAGGAAGCCTAGAGTATGAAAGCATTGTTCCCAATTTTAATTGCAAAATCACTTCTAGTGTCATTCAAAAGATGACTAGGTTTTTTATTAATTTCATGAAGCATATTTATACATGGCAAGTTGGGGCACAACAGTCTTATTTCTGACATGGATATAGATCTCCTCTTAGGTATAAACATTTTTATTGGCTTCCAAAAATTGGAATATAAAGGTCAAATTATATGGGGATCAATATTATAGTTGAATAAAAGTGTTCAACATTTTGAATTGTGCGAACCAGATTGTGGATGACGTGGATACAAAATTGGATTGTATTATCAACAATGGATCAGGCTTACTTGAAGAAATTGAAAATTGGATGTCAGTAGGGGTGAAGTAATGACCGCATGCACCGACCAGACCGACCAGTTTTCGGTCTGTTTTTTGCCCAGTTAAACAGTTGGTCTGTGTGCAGGATTTGTTTTCCTGAAATTCGGTTCAGTGTATGGTTTTGGAGATTTGAAGCTGAACCGAACCGCATAGAACAAAATAATATTCATCTAGCCGTCCATGTGTTCTCCTCTTAACCAACCATGTAAAATGTTGTGGTCCATCTGTGAGACAGTAAACCCTCTGAACAATCAACAATAAACCCATCTTCCAACTTCCAAGATGCTGAGAGACTCTCTCTTTCTTCATTTCAATCTCTCTATCTCAATCTTCTTTCATCTTTTGTCTCTTGATTTTGATCTCGATCTGTCACGCAATCACGATCGATTTCAAGACCTTGTGTTCTCTTAATTGATCGATCCTCAATCTCTCACTTTCGGCCTGAATCAGCCTCCGGCATAAAGAAGACAATGGCGTGAATCACTCTCCGGCGTCTCAGCTCTTCAGTGTCGATCTCCTTGAATAACATCTCATATGATCTAAAGGTAATTTGAACTAAGGTTTTTTTTTTTAAATTTTTAAATACTAAATCAGTTAATAAGGTTTCTTAGGCCTCGTTTGGGAACAGGCTAATTTAGTAACTTTTTGGCTATTTGGCTAAAAAGATAGTTAAAAAAAACTTGTATGTTTGGGATGACTTTTTGGCTAATTACGAAAAGATGTGCAAAAAGTAGAGAGAAAAGAGAATCTTTGACTTTTTGGTATGAGTTGTTGGCTTTTTGGCTAATTTAGTAACTTTTTGGCTAATTGGCTAAAAAAGTTAGTTCCCAAACGGGGCCTTAATCTGAGAATGTGATAAATAAATTTTTGACCCGCTTTTTTATTTATGTTTTATTTTACTGCTCTTTGGGGGGTGAAAATTGGGATTGTGATATTATTTTTTGCCTTATCAATAGCCAATAACAGATATGTTTTTGTTCTGATTACTTTTCTGCATTCCACGTAGAAGTTTAAAGTGCAATATTGTGTATGTTTAATTTTGGATTGTTCCTATGAACTGCTACGGAGTTTTCTTAAGTTGTTTTTCTACTCTTTACAAATTAAAGTTTCAACCAAAAGATTTCACTTTCTTGATAGAAACTAATAAATCCAAATAGTAACTAATCTACTCTGCTCTCCATTGTTTCTATGAAACTGCTATGATGTATTTTATTTTATTTTATTTTAAATTCTTTTATGTTTTAATAGTTGTCCAAGATGTATTTTCTAATAGATTGATATAAATAATAAAAGTTATATTCATTATTCATTACATATATATATATTTTGGAACAAATGCCAAAACCGGTAAACCGCAATGAACCAGACCGAAAAGGTACTTGCCGGTCCTGTGCGGTTCACCTGTTTGTGTCGGTCTGTTCGGTTTGGTCGGTGTAAAAAGCCGACCCACATGCAAAAGCTGACCGAACCGAACTGATTTCACCCCTAGATATCAGTGCGATGGCCCTACCATTTTGGGATTCGCTTTGGTCAACCTGTCTTTACTATTGAAGGAGATCCAAAGAATCCTGTTAAAAAGAAATTCCAGAAATTTTGGTTTTAGAGATTGCAAAAGGCTGTCAGCTTCATGATCTGTCAAGGCTTCTATTGCCTAGTTGACTTTTGCTTCTTGGAGATACTACATTATTCCATGTGTGGTTGAAATGATGAACAACTAGAACCTATACGCGGTGAAATGATGAAGCTCGAGGAAGTGTGTATTAGAAAGAGGCTTTTAAGAGAAGAAATGTGCTCTTTGGGTAATTATTAATGTGATCTATCCTTCCAGAACTAAACCAACTCAGTTCTCTCAAGTAGCTAGCGCTAGAATTATTTCACAAAGCTATGTATCTAACCTCATCAATCACCAATCCTCATGTGAATATGGGTTGTGCTCTAGGGCTATAAATTAATTGGATCTGCCAATGGTAAGTAGCCATTTTATTTAATTTGCTTTCATTTTGAAAAGAAATCCCTTGTGTTTTGAGATAGTAGTGATGCCATGACTGATCTATATCATTTTGATCTGTAGAATTGCATTCCTTTTTATGGTATTCGTGATATTCAATTTTTTCAAAGAGAAATATGATCCCTTGGTTCAGAATGCTCACTAGTCATCATTAGCCCTTGTTTTTTTGTGTTGCTCGTTAATCTTGTTTTATTAATCTGTGTTAGTTGAACTCATATTTTTTGAGTTGTAACAAAACTTACTATTTGCTTGGTACTGATTTTTCATTTTGTGCTTGAACAATGTCAGAATAAGGGCTCATCTAGTGAAGGTTCCACCGCATCAACTGTGCCTGCAACTAAGGTAAGAACAAAATAATTTTCATGTTGTTTGTGTTGATGTTGTTGCTTATTCAAACAAAGGGAGATGTTATTTATCACTGCATTTGCTTCTCCCTTTTACTTCTCCTCCTATTTGTATTTAAAATGCATGCCATGTATATGTGGAACCTATCGTATTTAAAAGTGGTGAACTCATCATGCACCATGAGAAGTCGCATAGGAAGTGAAAAGTTTTGGTGAAGTATTTCCAGTTTGTTGTGAATAGTCTCTACTACCATGTTCCAGTTTGTTATTTTCCATGCATTTGATGGAAAGGCATTTTTATAGTCAAACTAAAATATTCTCATTAAAGAAATCGCTTCTGCATCATTTTATAGTCAAACTAAGAGGTCTTTTCATTTATGATTTAGTAGGTGTTTCAAGTAATATGTTCCAAGTTTGTTGTTCCTCCCTTGAATTGGTAGGATTTAGTTTAAGGAGGTAAAGAGTAGTGATTGTGATAGCATTTGGTCTTAGATCTTTTTTTTTTAGGATCTTCAAATTTTCTTATGTTGCTTTGTTTCTCAGTTACTGAAACATCGAATTAACTCTGACTAACTCTTCCCAGAACTTTGAAACTTGTTTTTTATAATTTGTTTCTAGACTTCCTCGTATAGTTTTACTTCATGAGAGGGCATAGTGGTTCAACTTGGTATGCTGCTTCTAAGTGTACTTAACTATTCAATTGCTTTGAGAACTTAATCATGGAAGGACAAGCACTTCTTAAATACTTAGATGTGTTCTATTACTACTCAAAGCAACCTATTACAAGAAGTTGCAAACTATGATTGCTGTTTATTGATTGGCATTGATGACTTAGGTCTTGATCAATTATCCGAAGCATCCAATTTTATGAGACCAAAGGATCAGGCCCTACTTTGCCTTGAGAGCAGAAAACTGTGAATTGATGCAAATTGTTTGGTTTATGTACAAGTTGAGATCTGTGTACCACTGTTTAGATATGGTATATTATGTCTGTTTTACCTCAAAAGTGCTCAATTTGTGTTTGAAAGGAATGGCTGGAGTTAGGTTTCAAGTTCTTATGTTGACCTAATGAGAAAAGAGTGCATGGACTACTTCTTGTATATACATATATTTATAAAAAAAAGAAAAAAGAAAAAAGAAAATACTAAGTGCATGGATTACTGCATTGCGCACAATTGTGTGGTTCTGTTTAGGGGGCCATTAGTTTAGTGGTTAAAACTCAGCCTATCAACCTTTAGTTGTGGCTTCAAACATGAGGGTAGCCACTTTATGTATAATAATGCCAAAAGTTAGGTCTGTACTCAATTTACCCCTCCGAGACCCCCATCTAAGGGGGATTAAACTGGGTATACTTTGTTTTTTTGTTTGGTTCTGTTTAGTCAACTAGAATGGTTATTTAGATGAACCAAAAAGTAATGCTTGTTCTGTGAAACGTATGGAACTTGATAAACTATTGGAATGAAATTCTCCATGAGTTGGTCTTTAATTGGGCTAATTAATCTTAGTCACAGGACTCATACTATAATGTCTGTTGCCATACCAGGCTTGTTATATGGAAGCTTAGCCTCTAGAAAATGTAGAAGTGTTTATATTGAATCATGGTAGCATAAATAAGGTTGAATTGCATGTCCATGCTTTTTGAATATATTATTTTTCTTTCTTTTTTTTTGGCCTGTTTTCCTAGTACATGGCTTTGGTGCTTCCTCCCTTTTTCACTTTCGAAAACTTATTTGAGATTTTTGTGTGAGATGCATGAAATTGTTGTGCTGCCTGACATGTAGGTGCCACAGACAAGTGCCCCACTCCCTACTGCTGCCCCGCAAGTTCCTGCAGCGACCTTGGCAGCGTGAGTTTTGAGTCATTGCATAATATGTGCAAACAATGTTTGAGCGTTGTCATTTTCATTTGCATTGTGTAACATATTTTCTGTCCATGTTTCATCTCTGTACTTCACAGGCCTGCACCTGTACCTGCACCTGCGCCTGCACCTGCACCTGCACCTGCACCTGCATCTGCTGCTGCTCCTACCTCTACAGTTACTGCCATGTGAGTATTTTTCTTCTTTGGTTAACTTGTGAAGACTGAAGAGCGTGATTTTTATTGTCTGTTTACTTAATTTGGACAATCCTTATATTGGTACCTTTGTTAATCCAATAATGTGTGTTCAACCAGACCAGAGTCTAATGTCTATGGTCAAGCGGCATCGAATTTGGTTGCTGGAAGTAACCTTGATGGAGCGGTCCAGCAAATTCTTGATATGGGTGGAGGGACTTGGGATAGGGATACTGTTGTTCGAGCTCTTCGTGCTGCTTTCAACAACCCAGAGAGAGCTGTTGAATATTTATATTCTGTCAGTGTCTTTACTTGTACTTGATCTCTTTTGTGAATTTATTTTTCAAATGGGAAGTGCAGTTTGCACATCCATCAGTTGGGGAATTATTATGTCATAAAGTTGCAGTTTGGGTTCATATACCGTATACTAAATTGGGAACATGAGGTCAGGCTATTTATTTTTTGTATATGGAACACTATTGAAATTGGGGTTCACTTGTTGTTTACTGAATTTGAGTATAACATTTGCACATCTGAATTAGAAGTGTATCAGTTAAGATATTTTTATCTTGCTTATGAACTCCTTTGACGTCCTCTTGACAATAGGATTAGAGATTCTAGGTTAGTGATTTTGCATTTAGATTGTAACTATTTTTCACATTCTATATTTATATCAGGGTATCCCTGAGCAAGCTGAAGTGCCACCTGTGGCCCCAGCCCCAGCCCCAGCGAGTGGGCTGGCTACAAATTCTCTGGCTCAGCCTGCACAACCAGCACCGGTTCCTTCAACTGGACCAAATGCAAATCCATTGGATCTTTTTCCCCAGGTAGCTGGTCCATAATTATTGTTAAATCAAATTTGGTGTAAATTATTTGGTGGAAAAAGGGCACTCCAATGCACAAGGTTCCCACCATTGTGGGGTTCGGGAAGGTCAAAATTTGTTGTAAATTCTTTTGGTGATGACTTATATTTTTCTGACAACAGGGCCTGCCAAGCATGGGTTCGAATGCTGCTGGTGCAGGCACACTGGATTTTCTTCGCAACAGTCAGCAGGTATGTGCCTGTGCGTGTGTTGCGCATGCATGCTTGCATTTGTGTGTGTGCAAGTATCCATGTGTGTGTGTCTGCCTCCGCCCCCCTCCTCACTTTATAAACATTTCAATTTCCTATTTCAGTTCCAAGCTTTGCGAGCTATGGTGCAGGCCAATCCACAAATTTTGCAGGTTCTCATCCGCCACTCTGCAGCCAGTCTTTTTGTTTGTCCATCTAACATTTAAAAATGTGAACATTTTATTTTTCATTTTTCTTCTGAAAAAAAAAAAAGAAGAAAAAAACCCACCCTAAACAGCCTCAGTTACTCTTCTTATTGACAGCCCATGCTTCAGGAGCTAGGGAAGCAAAACCCTCACCTGATGAGGCTTATTCAGGAGCACCAGGCTGATTTTCTTCGCCTGATCAATGAACCTGTTGAAGGTGGAGAGGGGTATGATCTCTAGTTGGTTATATTCATTTAAATGTTAGTTATGAATGTTCACGGTCCTAATTTGCTGTTAATATGTTATCAGTAATGTACTGGGACAGCTTGCTGCAGCAATGCCACAGTCTGTAACAGTTACACCTGAGGAGCGTGAAGCCATAGAACGTGTAAGTATTGCCTTTTCCTAATTTTTATTTGAATTTAGATGTGTTTAGTGTGGTGGTCTTGAAGTGATCTTTTGATAGGGTTTTTTTCCCAATACCTATGAATTCATTCTATTGGATCCATAACTATACATTGGAAGACTCCTTTGGATCTCCTAGAAATATATCCATCCCTGATCTCACATCAAGTCCATGATCCTCTTAATCCTTTCTCATTCGAGTCCAATATCTGTTGGAATTGATACTTTGGATCCAGTTAGATAATATTTTGTAAATTTTAATTTTGTCAATTGTCCTTTATGTAAGCCACTTTATTTATTTGCATTTTTTTGTCCAACTCATTTTGTATTAGATGCTTGCTCAGAATCTTGCGGTTTGCGATTCAGGTCACGATTCGATTTGCAATTCATGCATATATTGATACAAATCTATGGGTAAATCTATTATGGGATAGAATCTATTTTGAGAGTAGTGTTTATAGACATACGAGCCTTGCTTGGAGGTTAAGTTGTGACTGAGTCATTAGAAGAATTGTGACACGTCCCAAGGGGACCTGCTTTCCCTCTCTTTTCATTCAGGTTGAGTTCAGGCCATGTTGACCCAACCTCAATCTGGTTGAGGTGAATCTGATTTTCAAGTACTCAACAATCTTAGTCTTAGAATAGAAACCAGCCACATGTCCAGTGTGCGGTAATAATGCCATAATGTGCTTATAAAAAGAAAATGTTAATTACACATACACCCCAGACACCTCTTCAACTATCACTAAGTATCACTTTACTCCCTAAACATTAAAGCCGTACATTTAGAGCTGAATTGAAACCCTTTTTGAGTTGGTTTTCTTTAATTGTAACACATACTGGAGCGACTGCTGAAATTTTCAGTTTTGAGCCTTTCAGCCCTAAATTTATCAAACAGTTAAGTGTTTGTTATGGGGAGTCTCTTTTGACAAAACATTGTGGTCAAGTATATATATTTTTTTCTTGTTTTTTTACTGAAGACATTATAGTCAATTGAGGCCCCAATTTTCAATGCAATACTAATTCTATTGTTTATTAAAATTAGTAGAATCATCGTTGTGTCTGGTACATGCTTCAAATTATTATTTTTATTTTCTTGATTTCTGTAGATGGATTTAGGTGATAGGTAGTAGCCTCGATTTGAAGATGACTGTTATTTCATTTCAACTTCCAATCTAAAAGTTGGGGCATTTTCTTTTGTTGACAATGGGTTTTTTTCGTTTTAACTTTTTCTCCAGCTCGAGGCAATGGGTTTTGATCGAGCACTCGTATTGGAGGTGTTCTTTGCATGCAACAAGAACGAGGAGCTGGCTGCCAACTACCTTTTAGATCACATGCATGAGTTCGAAGATTGATGTTTTTGTGATTGACGATTTGACCAATTTCTCCCCTTGTCCATCTTTCGTCGGACCTGGCATTTAATTTGTTTTTGCTTTTGTTTTTATTGTTTTCTTTGTTTTCTCTTTCTCCGCTGAATGCCTATATACTTGAACCCCCAACATCTAGCTTTAAAGGTTTATAATGTTGAGTGATGGAGGGCATGAATGTCAATATGGCTATTATAAATTACATTGTCATATAAATCGTATTTTGCTCTACTTTTGGGTTTGGTGGCATTAAATATTTATTGTGTTCATGCATATTTGCTTTATAAGTTATTTGGAATAATTTAAAATAAAATATTATTGATAATCAGTTCCATACTGGATTTATTTAATGGTTTTTTTTTATTTTTTATTTTGGGTAGGTTTCAGAGCATAACATGGTTCTTCTCGGTCCTCTTATGACCTTTTTGATGGTAGAAATTTGAATAGGGCTTCCATGTCTGTTTTTGGCATATGGAGGGTCAAGTGAGTAAAGATTTGCAAGTGGAGCATGCTAATGCGGGGGTGCCATTTATGCCACAGAAAGGTCTCATTACACACATTTTGAAAATAAAAATAAAAATATTCTATAATAATTGTCCTTCAAAATCACCATTAGTAACTTTTTGATTTGTTTTTTGCTCATATTGGTTAAAATATGAGGTACAAAAATTAGTATGTTTGGAATAATTTTTTGATGTTTTACAAAAAGATATGTATAATGTAGAGAGAAAAGAAATCTTTGATTTTTAGATATAAGTTGTTGGCTTTTTAATTTTTTTAGTTATTTTTTTAATTTTTATGCTAAAATAGTGAGTTGTCAAACGAGATTTTAAAAATTAAAAAATTATCTATAATTTTCATTTGGGAATTTTATTCTTCGTGAATTATGGATAAATTTTTTATATATGCATTATATGATTGAAATAATGGTAAATTATATTCATCTTTATTGAGATTTGAAAAAATTACAGTAACTTTTGCCGTTTTGACATAATTACAAGGTAAAAAGTATATATATTTTTGTGTAAAAGAGATAATATTATTTTTTTATTTATATAAATAATAAATTATTGATAAAAATGAAATTAAGTATTATATGAATTAAAATTTTAAGATAGCTCAATATAATTATATTAAAATTGTGAGATTTATTGTATTTTTTCTGAACTTGAAGGGAAGTCAGAGTAATTTAACCTATATATGTAAAAATCATTATTTTTAGGGTTGTAATCAAATACAATAAAAACATCTTTTTACAAAAAAATAATTTTTTGAAAAATAAAATTAATTTTACTAATACAACCGAAGGGTAAGCGAAAATGACAGGCACTAATTTTTGGGTTTGTAGTAAGAATTTGATATCCAAACTTGTGGTATTAACTTTTACAAAAGACGGAAAAAAAAAAAAAATTGGTTGGGAAAAATTATATTGAAAGGTTGGTCTCTAAGAAAAAAGTAAGAGCGCGGATATTAGTACCTCATAAATTATTTTAATTTTTTTAATTTTTAGCTTTTTTGTATATTACAATAATGATTTTAAATAAAATTATTAAAATGAACATCATTAATTTTAGAACACCCCATCTCATAATTAAATTTACACACCACTACATCATGAATTAGGTTTTATGAGAGCACTCATCTCCATTACCACCCATCTATTTTCTCCAAATCTCATCTTCAAAACTTGCCCACCCTCAAAACTTTGAAAATCCTTTGGCGGCAATATTCCGGCAATAACGGTAGCAACCATTTGATTACTCACACTTATCCGGCAATGATAATAAGTGGAAGTTTTTTCAACAACCACAACTCCATAAGACGAGAGGAATACAATAATAAAAGTTCAGAGGAAGTTTATAACTTTGATGGTGTTTTTAGCTTAGAAGAGATTAGCCTTGTAAAGGTAAGTTTCTTAAAAAATTACAAAAATAACAAAATCTATTCCTCATTTTTTTGGAACTGAACTCCCGAACATATAACTAAAATTCAGGAACACAAACCCGAATATTGTTTGTTTGTTCGGGAATCGATAACCGAACATTAATTATCGAAAAAAAAAGATGAGGAGGCAAAGAGAGAGAGTAATCACACTTGACTCTTCTTCTTCGTCGTGAGTTTTGTTAGGATTTTTGGAAGATAGATTTTTTGGGGTGTAGGGAGTGTGTATTCAATTGAATGGGTAAAATATTTTTATAAAGATAATTTTGGTATTATTTGGAGGGAGAATTTTTTTTTCAAAGGTTTCAAAATTTATAAGTGATGGTCCAAAAAAATAAAGAGTCTAAAATAATAGATGGAATGCTAATAGCCCCACTCAAAAGTAAATTAGTTTGACCTCCCTTAAAGTTAGAAGAAAATATAACAAATTTTGTAATTTTAAAATAATTATAATAACTTTTATTTTTATAAGATTAAAGAGACTAAAACTAAAAACAATCATATGATAGAAAAATGTGTGAACTCAGTTCGTGCTATCTCTTAAGGAAAATCCATAATTAATTCAAAACTTGCGTCAGCGCTGATGTAATTGGTGACTTTTTATTTTATTTATTTTATCAAAAAAACTCTAATCACATATAATTGAAAGAAACACAATCAACAAGTAATTGGTGACTTGGTTTTGGATTATTATGCATATGGGCATGGCCCTTCAAGTAAGCAATAATATTATCAACTCATACTTAATTATTTAAAATTATTATTTTATGATTTTAATATATTTTAGGGCAAGTTATAGATAAATCCTAAAATGTGAAAAGGTAGTGCAATCAATTCTTAAATATATTTGGTATTCCGTTTGATCTTGTTGGCTGAGTTGTATCGAAAATGCTCTTGCTTTTCATAGTGGGTGTGAAGAGGATTGGATTGACTTTGAGAGTGGGGTGTGTTTGGGTGTCACATTGCGAAAATGCTCTATGGTAGTTTTTGGTGTGTTGTAATTGTGAGACGGTGTGACGTCACACCGGTTGTAACCCAACCTGACTGAGTTGGCCCACGTGTTACGATATGGAAATCCCTAAATCAAGGTACAGTGTCACTTAATTCTTGGATTTTTGGTATTGCCGTTTTCATGTTATTGCAATTGGGTGTGTGGTGGATATTGATTAGGGTTCCGGAGATATACGGTAGGGTGTCGTGTGGTGTGGTGTGAGTTGGTCGTCATTTTTATGAAATTGTGTGTTGGTGTCACAGTGTAGGGTTCGTGATTTTGTGGTCAGTGTTTATGATGTGTTGGTGGGAAAGTCGACGTGCGAACGAACTGCAACAGTGGCAATGGCTCACAAACGTTACGTTATTTTGTTTCGCAAGTAATTCGATGGGGGGTTTGATTGCAGATGTGGGGTGTGCCATTTGTGTGTGTGCGTGTACTGTGTAAATGTCTAATATTTGTAATTCACTATTAATGAATTTTTTTTTGGTTTTGTATGTTGTCGTGATGGGTGTGTGGATGTTTGTGTGTGTCCGTATGTGTCCATTGATGGGGTCAATTAGTGGGGTTTCTTTGTGGGAAGTGGTACAGCTGATGGATATGAATATGGTGACCAAATCTTACACAATATTCTCCTCCCTTACACACAATCACATACCACAGTGGATGGATATGAGGATATGGACGTGATCTTAATTTTGTTTGACGGGAAGTGTACAAATGACCATAACATCAAAATATAAATAAAAAAAGGACCCAATAGTGATAATGATATCACCTATGGGATCTATCAGTATGTGTAAATCGGTAGGACTAAATGGGGTTGCTAATGCTGATATGAGATTTTTGGATAATTTTTCCTTTATTTGTATATATAAATTTTATATTATATAAATTTAATTTTCACCAAACAACTATTTATTTAGAAAAATCTAAATTGATAAGTTTGAATTCCCAAACTTATTTGGTAAGCAGGACACTCAGAAAATTCTCTTCTGGCGGGATACGCATGCCCACTTGACAGTTGCCATGGGAATAAGAAAAGGGAGAATTACACTTCAGTGTATTATTAACAGTAAAATTAATAAATATTAATAATTAAATTTATAAATTTTTTCATTAATTTATAAATATTTTTTCAAAACACACCGATGCGTAATTTCCCCATAAGAGAATGGAGTATTTACCGGCGGATCATATTTATCGGAGTTATCTATCAATAATTGTTATTCTAATTTTCAATAATTTTTTTTTAGATAAATTACTTATGTCATTTTCGTCCCTATAGCCTTCGTTTGGAATGTGTGTTGGCTTTTTAGCTATTAGCCTGGGATTAAAAAATCTCGTTTGGGATAAATTTTTTGACTTTTTTGACTATTGTGAGAAAAAAAATAAAATGATTATAATTTGGATGTGACATTTTGTCTATTTGGCTAAAAGAATCAATTTTGTCCTATATGGCTATTTTAGTCAAAATGGGCATGCCAAACAAGTTTCATTGACTCAATTGGCCCTTAATTTTAGATTTTGCGTTAATTTGGTCCAATTAATTATAATGTTAGGATTTTTGACAGTAAATTTTCACTGAGTTAGTTGAGGTTAAATCACTGAATTAATCAAGTTTATAATTTTGCTTCTAAAAATATGACACATGCCGTTTATGTACACATTGGTCATTAAAAAAATTCTAACAATTGAAATCAATTAAATCAATTTGAGACAAAGTCAAAAAATTCAAGATTTAAATCTATGCAATTGAAATTATAAAAACCAAAATGACATAAAAACCAAAATACAGGGACTAGTAGTGTAATTTGTTCTTCTTTTTTTTTTTAATAGCAAGCGATAGGATGTTAGTGGGTTAGTAAATTAGATTATAATAACAATATCGAAATCATTTCATCAATTTGAATCATGCACACTGTGACATTCTTACTGTCCCAAAAAATAACTACAGAAATCATTGGACCAACTATCTTGTTCTAAAATTGAAACAGTTAAGGAAAACTTATCACTATGACTTTTTTGTACTCTTTATATCGTGACGATAGTTCAGTAATCAGGTGGTGAATGGTGGTGGTGGTTGTGTGGTGCTGGCACCAATGGCTGTTATGTGGTGATAAGATAGTGGTAGTGATGACGATGATAATAATGTCATGGTGATTGTGGTAGTAAGATAACAGCGGTAGTGGTTGTGTGAGGTAGGATAAAGTTAGTGAAGATGGTGATATATACAACATCACAAAAAAAATAAAAAATAAAAAAAGAAAATCATTTTTCACTCATCACAAAAAAATATAACTTTTGCCACGAAATGCACAACTTTTCCACTCATAACTTT